AACCGAAAAAGAAACCAATATTTGCTGTGCTCCTCTAGCTTCACCTAAAATTTAAGTCCTTCACTGTGTTCTTCAAAATTGGTTTTCATTCCCAGTCTGTATCTGCACATCCTGTTTCCAATATTGTGCATTCATATTTTCCTCTTTAAATTTTCATAATCTGGGTCTGGATAGTACAGCGGTTAAGGTGCTTGCCTTGCATGCATCTCGCCCAGGTTCTGTTCCCACCACCACATATGGTCCCCTGAGCCAGAGCCCGCCAGTCGTGTGCCCTGTGTACCACCACGTGTGGCTCAAAACCAGCAACAACCAAAAACTTTGATAATCCTTTTACTGAAGTGCTGAACATAACTTTGTTGAATGTTTTATTTCGCTGATTTGCTGTATAGTTTGTCTTAAAATCCTTGGGGTCTTTTAAAATTCCAACTTCTTGTTTTAAATAATATACCTGTGAACATCTCTCTATATAAATTATTTCTTTGAGTTATTTTCAATGCTAGTAGATCTCAGGATAGTTGATTTTAGGAATTCTCTTGCACTCTGAATTATTAAGAACTCTGGATTGCTAATTTGTATCTGTCAGTTTGCTACATTAGAAATTGTAGTTGCGATTTCTTAAATGCACTGTGTACTCCTTTATTTAATAACAAACCTGTGATACAGTAATTATGAAAATAATCATCTCTCCAGGAAAACCACTTAGTGACTTCTTTCATATTGTTACAAATCTTTTTAATATCTGGCATAAGATACAGATTCTCAGATCTGTTTCAGCATTTAGTTTAAGGGCAGTACTATTTTTATTAAGGCCTGACAAAGGAGTTGTTGGGGGAGTAATCCCTGAGCACCACCAGATGTTACCCAAAAAGAAAAAACAAACATGTATATAGAGATGCTGGGGAGAAAACTTGGGTCCTCCCACATGTAAAGGAAGTGCTGTACCCAACCTGTATCTGAAAAATGGAATAATTCCTAAGATGAGAAGTTCAATATTTATATTGTAATGTCTCAATCAGCCACTAAAAAATCTGTAGGATGAGATTGGTCAGAAACATCAGTTGGTGGGGTTGGTGGCGGGGTCAGAGAGCGAGATCAGCACCTGAGCGCATCTTTACTGTGGGAGGCCCTGATCTGATACCTGAGCCCTTCCACTATTGATCCTGGAGCTCAGAGCCAGGTGTAGCCCCTGAATTAGTAATGTGGCCCCAAAACAGCAAAATGAAACAAACAAAAATCAGGAATTAACACTGAATAGAAAAAAAAAAGATTGAGGACATAGGAATGAAAAAAAGCAGAAACAACTAGAAGAACAATTTTTAAAATAGAGTAGATCTCAGTCTGTATATCATTTGATCACTTGACATCCCATTACTCATTGAGCGGGTGCCAGTAACGTCTCCATTTGTCACTGTTGAGTGCTAGTGTAGCCCAGTGGCGTCCGCTCGTTCTAGGAACACGAAGAGCCCCGAACTGATCTCATTCAAGGTCTTGACAAAGAAGTCTGACCATCTTGTAGGTGGGCAGCCACGCGATCTTTTGACGTCCCGTGGAATCCAGTCGGTAACAGCTCTAGTCCAGCGGTCATCTCCAAATCTCATTATGTGTGCAGCCCATCTGATTTTTGACGCCTTGGCAAAGGAGACAGCATCCCTGATTCTTGATCGTCGACAGAGGTCGGAACTCCAGATTCGTTCTCTCATTTGAGTGAAGCGGGTTACTCCGAGCATAGCTCTTTCGATTCCTCAGTCTGTATATATGGTATTAAATTCTTCAAATGTACAAGTCAGGGCCAGAGTGATAGTACAATGGATAGGGTGTTTGCTTTGCCTGTGGCTGGCCTGGGTTCAATCCCTAGCATCCCTTATGGTCCCCTAACACTACCAGGAGTGATTACTGAGTGAAGAGCCAGGAATTACCCCTGAGCATCACCAGGTGTGACCCCCCCAAAAAAAAAGATATTTTAAAAAATCTTAAATAAAAATCAACATACAAGTCACATTAAATATAAGAGATCTCAGCACTCCAATGAAAAGACCATGAGTTTAGAGAATAATAATTGGACAATGTTTAGATAATAATAAAAGAACATGTGTTTAAATAATAATAGAGCATGGGCTCAAATAATACTAATAATAAAATTAGCAGGGGCTGGAGAGAGAGTACTGCAGTAAGGAACTTTGCCTTTCATGCATGGGAACACAACCTGGGTTTTATTCCCCAGCACAGCACACAGTGCTAGGAGTGATCCCTGAGCACAGCCAGCAGTCAGCCCTGGCTACTACCAGGGATGGTCCAAAAATGAAAATGGAACATAGGACAGTGCTACAGTGCTACAGTTTAGTAGGAAGAAAAATAGTAGGGTGATAATAATAATAATAATAATAGGACCTGAGTTTTGAAGTTAAATAGCCCTGGCCTGGATCCTGTCTCAGCCACTGATTATTACATACTCTGGTCTTGGCAAGAAACCCTATTCTAGCTTATCTGTAAAACTAAGGGAAATTTTTTGTGCTTGGAGGACTGCTGTCAAGTGAAAGGAAACCGTGCTCATGAGAAACTCAGCACACTTCTATTTCAGAAAGTAGTGGCGGGCTGGGGGCTACTCAGTTCCATGCAGAGTGCCTGGCAGGACAGACAAGGAACTGACACTAGTGTCTGTGGGAAGACCTGGGAATCCGGGGGACAAGGATGAAAGAGAGAGGGTTTGTTTTTTGTTTTTTACTTTTGTGGGTACATAGTCTCTCATCTACAGTTGAGAAATCAAAAGTGCCATGTAAACAAAGTCACAGATTTTGTTCATTCTTTTGGTGGTGGTGGTGATTTAAAGACTGAGGCCTGTCCTTGTTTGGTAGAAAAATCTGACCTGAAATAGCACAAAACTCTTGCATGTTTAATTGATTCCACTGAGGCGTGAACAGTCATTCATTCTGCAGGAACACCTGGGGATTGGTTTCTGGGTTCTTGGAGTGTCACAAGCTTCAGAGTGTTACACGGTGTTACACCATGTGTCATATTCATCGAACCTTAGCTACGAAAAGTTCAGAATTCTAAATATGGTTTAGATACTAGACAAGATTGTAAACCTGTGCCTCCTTTTTCTCTCTTGAACCTTGAAACTACTGAATGTACAGTACCTGCTTAAAACAGTACCCTTTTATTTTTCTCGTTTCTATTTAAAACAACATTTCACACAGCTCCTGCCACAAAGCAAACTCAGGAAGTGGTGTTGGTAGTGGTCATTACCTCAACTACCTTATCTGTCCGCAAACCCACCTGTGTCCAGTACCATGTCTCACCCATCACTTTTTTTTTATGATGATTTGTTCCAGGTATTCAGTATTCCAACACCACACCCATCACCATTTGATCACCTTCCCTCCACCAGTGTCTCCAATTTTCCCAACCACCCCTCAAGCCTTCCCCCCTAGCAGGCCCACAATGGTTTGCTTTTATATTGCTTGTTATCAATAAGTTGCTAACTGAATGATCAAAAAATATTTCCTTTGAAGAAAATTAATGTAAATTGCTGTATCTCACCATGGAGACATTAAGTCCTCGTATGAGGGATTCCTGAGATGTTAGAGGTTAAGTCTTCTGTGTTAGTTTGGTTAGTCAAGATTGGTTGCCTTCTATGTTATACCCCATCCAATCTGGTGGGGTGTTTGGGTGTTAAGATGGTCACCTAGACCTAAAATGATAGGCTCAGGAATGTAAAGATGCTTTTCAAACTTGTGAAAGCTAAATATAATTTTGAATGTACATATGTTATAGAATAGCATGTCCAGAGCATGTGTAGTCATTACTGCCTTTGGTTCGAAGACTCTCAGGTCGAAAATTGGTTCTTGGATGAAAAGCAGTGGTTAAAGAAAAACTCATGGAGATTGAATGATGTTGGCTATCTAGAGATCTAGAGTATCTGACAAGGGGCTGGAGCAATAGCACAGCGGGTAGGGTGTTTGCCTTGCACACAGCCAATCCAGGTTCAATCCCCAGCAGTCCATATGGTCCCCCGAGCACTGCCAGGAGTAATTCCTGAGTGCAGAGCCAGGAGTAACACCTGAGCATTGCCAGGTGTGACCCCAAAAGCAAAAAAATAAAAATAATAAAGTATCTGACAAGTATATGGTCACTGCACTATTCAGGTTTCAGGAGGCACCAGTGGGAAAGCTTTGTGTGGTCCTGTCGCAGCTGTGAGCTCCCTTTCCATTCCACTTCTGGAATCATTCAAATCTTAGTTTTTTAGTTTTTGGTTTTCAAATATTATTCTAGGACCAGAATGATAGCAGCAGCAGATAGGGAGGGCCCTTACATTGCATGTGGCCAACCTGAGCTTGATCCTCAGCACCCCACACAGTCCCCTAAGCCCCAACAGAAGTGATCCCTGGCAGCAGGAATATGCCCAAAGCATCACAGGTGGCCCTAAAGCAAAGTATAAAATATATTTTTTTATGTTTTTTAAACATAAATGTAATATATTCTTGTTCTGGTCTCAAAATTCCTTTTTTTTTTCTTTTTGGGTCACACCCGGCATTGCACAGGGGTTACTCCTGACTCATGCACTCAGGAATTACCCCTGGCGGTGCTCAGGGGACATATGGGATGCTGGGAATCGAACCCGAGTCTGCCACATGCAAGGCAAACGCCCTACCCGCCGTGCTGTCGTTCCAGCCCCTGGTCTCAAAATTCTTGGTTGGTTTAGGAACTTGAGAAAAGTGCAGTTAAAATACAGTTTATCAGGAATTCAACACTGTTGATCTTCATATCTGTCCTCGTGTTGGCATCCTCCAGCAGCTTTTCCTGGCACTGCCATCGCACTGTTGGGGGCACTGTGCCAGGGGCCACTCCCCACTCTTCCTTGGCAGCAGATTCTGGCGGGCTTTCCCCTCTTCCCCACTGACTGATGGTGCACTTGTGACCCCATGGCCTCCGCTTGGGGCCTTGGGGAGCCCAGGCGCCTGGCGGCTGTGGGATGTGCACTAATTGTTCCTTGTTTGTTTCAGGTGTGATCCCCTGGGCCCGTTTGCTGTCGGGGGAGAGGACCTCGACCCCTTTGGGTGAGTGCTGCAGGCGAGGTGGAGCAGGCTTCTCCTCCCCAGCACATCTGCTAATTTTAGAGCTTTTCGTCAGTCTTCCTGGGGGCGCTGGGGAGGAGACGGGGGTTGCTGCACAGCTGAGAACCCATTGCTATGAGCAGAGCAGGGGAGAACCCCGATTGCGCCCACCGCTTCGTTCCTCTCAGGGCCCGCCTGCCCAGGTCACACCCGCAGCCCTCCCTGAGATCGATGAACACTACGGGGCTGGCCAGGTGCAGACCAGAGACACACAGGACCAGAGAGATAGGACAGTGTGCGAGGCACTTGCCATGCATGCAGCTGACTCATGTGTTGATCCCTGGCACCCCATGTAGTCCCCCGGGAGAGATCCCAGAGTGCAGAGCCAGGAATAAGCCCTGAGCACCACCTGGTATGGCTCCAAAGCCAGAAGATAAAAATAAAATGAAATAAAGCACACACACTGTTCTGGTGACCCTCAGGCCGGCAGCACGGGCTGTTCAGAGGTCTCCAGTTCCCATTAAACTCGGCAGCTCCGGTCATGCCCCTGACTGTTACTACAGTCTGGACTACACGCAGTCTTCTCAGGATGACTCAGGCTAGAGTCTAACCTCTGCTCACCTGAGTCTTCAGTGGCATTTGAACAGCGACTTCAGCGTGGGGGCAGGTCACATCAGTTCATTCATCGAATTAGGAGTCCTGCTGGTGTGCCTGGGTGGAGCAGTGCTCCCCGGGCTGCTGTGCACTCTGAGGCAGCAGCACAGCAAACGTGGGAATTGTCTCAGCCATTGTAGTCTTTGCACCCAAAGCCGTGCCCTCAGAGCCTCGTAGTTTTGTGCCCGCCGGGCAGTTCGGGGCACCCATTGTAGACCAGTGTCTCCTTTGATGGTGGGACGTGGTGGGACTCACAGTTCCCAGGCTTAGAGCTCACAGAGCTAAAAGTGCGGCTCATGCGTGCCATCAGGTGCGCTCGTGTCCTGCGGGCCCCAGGCAGCCTCTGGAAGGCCAGCCCAGCCACCAGCTGCCCTCCCCCCACCCCCCACCCCTGCCTGCCTCCTTGCCCTGCTCACTCACTCTCATTCTCCTCCTCTCAGGTGCCGGAGAGGCGGCATGATAGTGGACCCCCTGCGATCTGGCTTCCCGAGAGCACTTATCGACCCATCCTCTGGTCTCCCCAACCGGCTTCCTCCAGGCGCTGTACCACCCGGAGCCCGCTTTGACCCCTTTGGGCCCACTGGCACTAGCCCATCCGGGTAGGTATCATTCGGCCCTGATGGCAGTGAAAAGACCCTGGCCATGGGCACCACTGTCCCCTGTGCCCTGCCCTGCTGTGGGGTCTCCCGGGGGCCTCTTAGGGCTCTTTATCCCTAACTGCCACCTTCCCCTGGCTCCGCCCAGCAAGGAGGCAGAACTCCTTTGTCCGTGCCCTGAGGAAACAGCACTGTCCACATTTCAGAGGTCAGCGTCAGGGCCTGAGAGATGAAATTGCTTCTCCAGTATGCGAGGATCCGGATTCACACCCAGAACCCAGGCTGTCTGGCTTAGGGTTGCATGCTGTATAGTGCCATGAATTGGGGCCAGGGAGACTGTAGAGCAGCTCAGGCACTTGCCTGCACACAGCTGACCAGGGTTGAGTCCCCAGCACCACATATATGGTCCGCTGAGCACAGCCAGGAATGATCTCTGAGCACAGAGCAGGAGTAAGCCCTGGATGTGATCTTCACCCCCAACCCCCGCCCCCAAAATTGACCCAGCACATCATCCCAGAGGCAGGCTCTCTCTGCTCCAAGCCCTGCCTGCCTGTCTGCCGGGGCCCTCCATTCCTCCTCACCAGCCCCTCTTTCCCTTCCAGACCTAACCCAGATCACCTGCCCCCACCGGGCTATGACGACATGTTCCTGTGAAGGCCTCAAGAATGTAACAGCCCAGCATTCCTTCCACTCTCCTGGAGCCGCTGCCACCGGCCGCCTCAGCACTCGTGTCCTGGTGGGCTGGGGTTGCCTCCCCACCCCCGATCAGAGCCAAGACACCCGCTGCCACGTGCCACCTGGCTGCACCTAGGTCCCAGAGAGAGATCCTGCATCTCACTAGGCGCCAGCTCCTCCCCACTCCCCATGGGAGAACTCTGGCAGCAGTATGCCCTCTACCCGAAGTGATCCTGGTTGCAGCGCTATAAGAACAGAACGCATTTTGGATGCTATTATTAAGAACCAAATGTCAATACAGAAATCGTGTTGCCGGTCTCCCACTTTCCTTTCTTGCTCAGCTCCTTCCAGCTGTGAGATGTTAGAATCTTAGGAGTCCACATGACTTCTCCCACCCAGGGCCCATTTCTTTTCAGGCCCCTTCCCAGCTTAAGTAACTCCTTCTCACTGAGGTCGGTCCCAGTGTGGCTGCACGGATAGACACGAGTGCCTGGAAACCCCATAGGCCACCACAGTGACTTTCACAGAGGCAGGCACTGACTGTGCAGAAGACCGCGTCATGCTGATGGGCAAAAGCGTCCACTTCAGCCCCAAGCCAGGCATCTCTGTCCATCCTGGGCCGTGGCAGTCTATAACAAGGATTAAATAGCAGACATGAAGGCCAGTCTCATTCCTGCTATTTGCCACTAAGTGAATTTAAGAAAGCCCCTTTCCTTCCCAGGGCCTTTTTTGCCAGCTTATAAAATCTCTCCTGCTCTAAAACGTTGGTCCTGCTTCTGTCTGTGACAACCCCTGAGACCTGGGGCCAACGGGAAAGTGTGAAGGCTCAAGGCTTGGTGCCATACTTACCTGCTGAGTTTATTACTCTGTGCCACTTCTCCCTGGGGTCCACACAGGATCCCTGTCTCCATCCAGTGTGCTGGGGAACTTCGGGAGGAGCAAGAGGCCCAGCCTGCAGGAAGGTGTGTCTGCCCCAGGGAGCCCCAGCCCCAGAAGCCTTGTCCTCTCTCCAGGCCATCTGACCTTAAGCCTTCTCCAGAATCCCTTTCAGACAGAGGCAGAGGCATCAAGGCAGTAGTCACCATCACACCATAACTAACATTCCAGCCACAGGAGGGCCCTGGCTCTCTGGCGGGGGCCCCCCAGCAGCACCCATGCATTCCTGAGCCCCCCTCTGCTCTGCCCAAGACGACTCCAGGGAGCTACAGTGACACAGAGGCCCAGGAGGAGCCCATGATGAATAGTTGACCTGGGTGGGGTTAACTCTCACGAACAGACTTCCTGGGCTTTTCTGGAAAACCCCATCTCAAGTACTGATTTAATAAAAGACTGCCAACAGGTCCTGACACCTCTGCTCTGGAGAAGGACCCCCAGAGGAAGCAGTGTGACCACCAGAGTCTTCAGACCTCAAATGCCAGCAATGAGTGGAATATTTGTTTGGAAACTGGGTCATGCTGCTGCTTAAAGAACTTAGGACAGTTTGTTCATGGAAACATCTTTATTTTAGAAGGGAGCATTTAAAGGAACATCAGGCCAGGGACCAACCAATAAACAGTGAAGGAAAATAACTTTTGGAACCCCGATTCAAGAAAAAGCCCAAGATTGAAACCATAAATTCTGCCCCTTGCATCATGTCGTTGCAAAAGTTGTACAGATTAGTCCTCCTTGTTTCTGCTTCCCCAAAGCAGAAACTAGTGAATCATTTGCAGAATCAGCCTTTTTTTTCTACATGAGCCTCCTTGCATCAAGGACACTGAGGAACCTGATCTTTCCTTTTTATGTGGTAGCATGAGGGGAGGGAAGGGGCCCTGTAAACACACCCAGGTTCAGCCGTTCTCTCCTTCCAGAAGCCATTCACCACGCAGCGAAGGGGAATGGTTCAGGTATATGTTTTCTGGAACTCAAAAAGTTGTAGCCTCAGCAATAAATATCAACCTCTCTAAAAACAAACAAAAATAGCCAATTAGCTTTATTGGGCTTATATATAATTCCCATGCCCATTATGTCTGCCCTTTTTATAGTGGGCTAATCGGTGGTTCTCAGTCTATACAGTACTCTATTCATCGCCATGTTTAATTCCTGGACATTTTCACCACCCCCAGAACAAAACCCCACATCCATTAACAATTAGCAGCACTCCCCCACTCCTCCCGGCCGCAGTCAACTATGGATCTACATTCTATAGCTATTCTGAACATTTCTCAGTAGAATCACACAATATGGGGCCTTTTGTGTCTGGTTTCATAACATTTTTATAGCATTCGTCCATGTTGTATCTATCAGTATTCCCTTTTATGGCCAAATAGTATTTGATTGTATGCAGTATACACCATATTTTCCTTATCCATTTACCAGCTGGTGGACCATTGGATTGTGTCAACTTTTGAGCTATTATGAATAACGCTGCAGTGAACATCTTTGTGTGTGGACATGTTTTCTGTTTTCTTGGGTACAGAGCCGAATAACTGGGTCAACTTAAGGTGTGACTCTTTGAGGTGTAATTTCTTGCAAGACTTTCCCACAGCAGCTACACCATATTTTTGTTTTGGTTTTTCCATTTCCCCTGATGGGGTGCAAAGATTTCAGTTCTTTCTCCGTCTTCAATACTTGGTACTCCTAAATACAGCCATTCTAGTGGGTGTGACGTATCTCATGGTCTTCTGTTTTTTTAATTTTTAAAGGAATTTTGGCTTAAGCCAAGAGAGCAGAGCCATTCGCCCCTGGGAAGCAGACTGTGGCTTTGCTGCTGGGATGCTCATAATGGTGGGCCAGTCACTGCAGTTGAGTCTGACCCTAGGGAGAGATTCTCGGTCAGCTGTGATACAGGAAAGGTCCCATCTGCCAGGGATGTTAGCACAACTTTCCCAGGTCTAGTGAGTTTCATGGCATCACTTAAATGGTTCTGAAATGTCCTGGTTCATCCAGTGATTTATAGGTCTGGTTTAAATACTTGCAGTGTTGGTGGTGCCACTGAAACAACTGGGCAGCACCAACATGCCCACTGAGTTGTTCCTTGGCTTTCCCTGTGTTCACAGCTGACCCGTGTTTCCTATTGGATTGAGCTACCCATAACCCACTAGCAAATCACAACCTTCCAACACTGACTCCAAGGATACGCACTCAAAATGAAGCCTGTCTTCCTGCAGGGGCTCATCACTAGAAATGAGTGATGAGAAGGACCCATTGGTCCTTTGAACCCCAACTTCCCTGGGGCCTCACTTGCACTCTCCTGTCATTAATGACATGTTATGGTCCAGGCCTCTGCGCAGAGGCTGCGTCAGCAGCTGGCAGTGGGATCCCCCTCACCTTCTAATCTTGTCTACTTAAGCAGTTTCAGTAAGATGGGTCCCACATCTGGAGGGTGGGGAGGCTCCCTTCATGTACAGCCTCCACTCTTCCTGTCATTACAATGCCATGGGCAGCTATTTTCCAGTCATGGGAAGATTGCAAGGTAAGCCAATCCCAGCTCTGGTTTGTCCCAGGATACTACCAGGCACAGCCCAAATCCCTACAGCTGCGCTACACTGAAGGCGGGGAAAAGGCAGGGCTGGTGGTAAGGATGTCACCAAGTGACAAAGGACGGTGAGCCCTGGAATGCAGGCAGTGATCTGGGCTGAGAATACCCCACAAGTGGCAGGGCAGTACAAGACCCATGTCCACCGAGGCAGGTGGCACAGTGGAGGAGAGACTTTATCCCAGGCAAGGTGTTTGGAGAGACCAAGTGAGAGTGTCAGAGGAAAGGAGTGAGGGCAAGCGGGGAGTTAGAGGCTGCTGAATTGTCAGTTCTGGGGACCAGCTGCAGTAAACTGCTTTAACTAAAAAAAAAAACAAAAAAAAAAAAACTTTGTAAATAGGATCACATCATTGGGATCCTGGGGATCAAAGTCCAGTCACAGCAACTGCCTTCATCTGCTCTGACACAGCCTAGACCCTGTCAGGGCCCTGTCACCTGTCACCTTGCACAGCTCCAAGTTCAGGGCCCAGAAGAATGTATCTGAGAGAACTTGCATCACTTCTCAGACAGCAGCTATGGAGGAGCCTGAGACACTGGGCCTTGCTCCCTTTCCCCACCTCTCCAGCAAGGTGCCTTGGGGACAGGTCCAAGTGAGACATCTACGCCATTACACAGGACAGGATGAGAACCAAAGCCAGGCTGGTGCCTCCAGGGATGCACATCAGACATCACGGACCCCCAATCCAGACCCAGACCCGGACAGCTAAGAAAGGGCTTTGCAATAGGCTTTTATTTATTTTACGTTCTTTGGGCAATTCCTATTAATAAACAGGCAAGTCAAGTTTCCTAAGAAGGGAAGGATGCTGGTTACTGCACGCTTGTTACTGAAACCAGCAGTGCCAGCAGCATCCCCTGAGAACTTGTTAGAAGTGCAGGCTCTCGGGACCCCCGACTTACTGAGCGAGAATCTGCATTTTAACAAGTTTCCCAGGAGATTTGTGTGCACACTAAAGCTAGAGATGGACTCGTGGACAAACTATCCTTTTCCTTCACCTGGCTATCGGGTGCCAAAAATAATCATCAACCTGGATCACTATGACCAAGGCTGCATACGAGAACCTCCTCCTCTGAAGTTGCTCCAGCCTCCCTTCCTGGATCTACTTGCTTCCTTGCCCCAGGGGCTCCCTCAACAGGGTTTCATGTTTTCAATGATGTATCTGCCCTTGTAAAATAAAATTAGTTCTCTTTCCAAATCACAAAAAGTAACAATGTATATCTCCATTTCCTAGGTCAGAAAATGAAGGTTGGGAAAGGTCCGGTAACTTTCTCAAAGCCTTATGGGGTCTCAGAATCAATCAGGAACGGGGCTGGAGCAATAAGCAGGTAGGGCATTTGCTTTGCACGTGGCCGATCCAGGTTCGATTCCCAGCATCCCATGTGGTCCCTGGAGCACCGGCAGGAGTGACTCCTGAGTACACAGCCAGGAGTAACCCCTGACCCCTGAGCATCGCCTGGTGTGACCCAAAAGCAAAAAATAACAATAATAAGAATCAAGCAGGCATGGTGTGACTCTCAGTCCTCCCTTTGTTGGGGTGCAGTCTCAACTACAAATGAGCATCATCTCCCTCTAGAATTGTAGCCTGGTCCAGCTTGACGCTCGGTGAACACCTGTCAATACCAAGACCACATGGGTACCACATGGGTAGGTATGGCTGGGGGTCATGGGAACAAGAAAAGGATTCATTTGGTGGCCCCTGGGTGCTAGGCCCCTGATTGTACCACTAGCCACCACTAGTGATTAACATAAGCATTATTAAGTTGAGGTGCTGAGTCTGCCCTTCTAGAGATGGGAAAACAGGGTTGA